TGACGATTCCACTGGACAGCGCGAATGCGTCGATCGGTTATCGCAGCGTATCTCCAGATTATAGATGTCGGGTTGTAGCTGCACAGCCGATCGTACCACCTAGGGCGTTGATCCGTCAGATACGTTATTGTAGGCGTTCCCGATACGATATGCTAAAGCACAGCTTCCATCAGTACTTTATCTTCAGGTAGGAGCATAGCCCAGCTTACACTTACCGCGATCAATGGGGCGAGACACAAAGTGAACAAGGAGACCCACTCGGTAAAACTAACGCATCGGCTGTTATAGCGAATGGGCTCAACCTCGATGTTGAAATACGGCATTGGAGATGATGCGGCCGAGACATTCGCGCAGGAGAACTTTGCTAGGGATGACTGAATCTATCCTTTAGGCCCCCGACGACCGGGAAATTACTTACGCACGTAAGCACGCACAGTGACACCTACCACCGCGTAATATCGGATGCATGTAAGCGCTGGTTATACGTACCACGTCTCGTGGGACCATTACCTCGCTTTGTTCGACCTCAAACCTTGAATGTATCTAGATATTGACACAAAAGTATAGCAAGAGATGTGCCGAGAAGTTGCCCAACAAGAAGTTTGCGTCCGTAGCGAAGTATCATGTGTCGCCTCAGCAGATAGCTACCAAGAGAGACGGTGGCAGCGCTCATTCTTGACTCCGTATACGTATCTCAGACATCGGAAGTAGGTGTGCTCCATCGCAGCAGTTCGAGATTGCCGTATTCCTCCGCCATCTTGTAGTTGAAGGGGTTGCTAGAGACGGCGAAGATGAGGCCAAAATGATGGGATCAGTCCTAATGGCTGTTCTGATGCTGGTTACGTGTTGTGTGCGACTGACAAACAAGTACCGACCTATATATATCAACTTGGTCGCAAGTTCAGATGGCTCATAGCAAATCCGACAGTCGTGATGGAAATTGAAGTAGTGTTGCGTTGGGACCAAGCTGCGATTGAGTCGGAGATAACGCTTAGTAATCCCGCACTGGCCCCCAAAGCTGAGATGGAAATCAGAGGTACCTAGCTCTTGCGTGCCTCGCATCTGAGCTTTGTACACGGATGCGACTCCCAACATACGGACTCGCATTGTTGAGAAATTTGACAGCAATTTCCTCTCCCTGCATTCCTTTGCATGCGATCGTACTGAGTCTGTGGGGCGTATGGCCACGTCATAGCAGCCTTTTTTGCCTTTATCACACGAGCTCAGCGAGCGCGCCCATACCGAATGCACGGTAAATTCCATTCCAAGATTTGTCAAAGCTTTCGATACGGATGAATACGCTCCGCTAGCATCAACTACCGTTACCGGCTCCACGTCCATCAGCCATCGGAGTGCACCCGGGCGTTGGCGCGGTGCGCTGGACTCTCGAACCCTCTCAGTCTTCTCACATGCAATTTGAGTTTGCGTAAGTTTGTGGCGCCTCTCTACTACCGAGGCGTCAGCCTTGCCCGCAAGTAAGGCGCTGAACACCAATATATCGAGCGATGGATTCGCCGAGATCGTGGGGAGACCCATCGTGGATACCCCGCATTTTGTCCACGCGGGGCGAAGTAGTTACCCCTTGAAAGGTAGCATCTCCGTCATCAGAATACAAGCCAACGGTTTATGGCTGGTTCCCGAGCGTGTTAACAACGATGGCGATTCAGTCGATACACCCACCCACAGACCGGGAGAATGCATCCGTTTGCGGTCCGGCAGTCAATGCCACTCTTGGCGTCGATATCCTACTTTGCACGTCCCTCCCCTACAGATCTTATAGTCGGTGCACTTAGGTCAGTCGCGTTTTGTCGAAAGCGCAAACAGAGAACGTTCCGAGAACGGCTTGTGTAAAGACTGATGTGGCGCAAAACCATAAACTCTGGATTACTACTCGTCCGCTAGATGCGCCGACACCTCATGACCAGCTGCCTAGACAATACGCGCCGGAAGCTATCCATCAACGATCCAAGCCTATTGTGGCTCTTTCCCCTGGCTGACGCTCTGAACTGCGAGTTCGGATAGGTCAGCGCACGATGTTCTTCATGCACCGTGTCACCTCACAAGGCTGTCAGACCCCACTTCCATCAAAATGAGAGCGATCTGCAACCCAAAATTCCGGGAGGATGCTATTGAAGCATGGGTGTATCTGCAGCCACGGCGGCCTTTGAACTTACGTTGAATCTTTCCAAATCGCTCTTCGTCCGGACGCAGGAGACCTTGACATTGTCCGAGGTTCGTTGTGAAGCGTAGTATCTGGCTTGTGATATCTTCTCTACCGGGCGAGTTAAGTATCGTGCGTTGCACAGTGATGGCAGAAGCAGTCACCAGAAACAAAAACTTTATTTGATTCGACAACCACGAGTCGAACGCACAACTACTCACTATGAAGCTAGCAACCCTTCTTTCGTTGCTTCCTTTGGCTCTAGCAGTCCCAGCACCACTGGAGAAACGAGCAAACCCTACCGTCGTTGCTCCCTCGCCTCAAGCCACGGTTGCTGGCATCAACGTATTGGGTGTTGAGTCCTTCAAAGGCATACCATACGCACAGCCCCCGATTGACCAGCTACGACTGAAACCACCTCAGCCCATAACTTCCTCTCTCGGAAAGGTCGACGGAACCGGCATTCCAAAAGCATGCCCACAGTTCTTCTTCAGCATAGATGAGAGGAATATTCCTACCAACGTCTTAGGCACTATCCTAAACCTACCACTTCTCCAGACCGTCACAAATGCTGGAGAAGACTGCCTTACTATCAACGTACAGCGTCCCGCTGGTACCAAAGCTGGCGACAAACTTCCGGTACTATTCTGGATCTTTGGTGGCGGTTTCGAACTTGGATCTACTGCAATGTACGATGGAACAAGCCTTGTCGCCGAATCAGTCGCTCAAGGCAAGCCCATCGTATTTGTGGCAGTCAACTATCGCGTGGGCGGATTTGGCTTCATGCCCGGGAAAGAGGTACTAGCCGATGGCTCCGCCAATCTAGGGCTACTAGACCAACGATTGGGCTTGGAATGGGTTGCTGACAACATTGCCGCATTCGGAGGAGACCCTGAGAAGGTTACGATCTGGGGGGAAAGTGCAGGTGCCATCTCTGTGTTGGATCAGATGATGCTTTACGATGGCGACAACAACTACAACGGCAAGCCGCTATTCAGAGCTGGCATCATGAACTCGGGTTCGATAGTTCCAGCTGATCCCGTTGACTGCCCCAAAGGTCAAGCTATTTACGACAGGGTATGTGTTCAATCCCACTCCCTACCGCATAACACGATGCTCACCTCTCCCAGGTCGTTGAAGCAGCTGGATGCGCCAGCTCTGCCGATACCTTGGCGTGTCTCCGCACAGTACCATACACCAAGTTCCTCAATGCCGCCAATACTGTCCCGGGTATCTTGGGCTACTTCACAGTCAATCTTTCCTACCTCCCTCGTCCCGATGGAAAGGCCCTCTCGGATTCTCCCGATGCCCTTGTCAAAGCTGGAAAGTACGCCAAAGTACCCTTCATCGTTGGTGACCAAGAAGACGAGGGTACTCTCTTTGGTCTCTTCACTTCGAATTTAACCACGACCAAAGAAGTAACGACCTATCTCTCAACCATCTTCTTCCAGAATGCTTCACCAGCGCAAGTCGAACAGCTAGTAGGCAGCTACCAAACTATCACCGAGGACGGCTCGCCCTTCCGCACCGGCCTACTCAACAACTTCTACCCGCAATTCAAGCGCGTCTCCGCTATTCTCGGCGACGTTACCTTCACGCTCACACGTCGCCTCTTCTTGGAAGTCACTGGTCAAGTCGCCCCCGATGTACCATCCTGGTCCTATCTCGCGACATACGATTTCGGTACACCCATTCTAGGAACGTTCCATGGCTCCGACATCCTGCAAGTCTTCAATGGCATCTTGCCCAACAATGCCGCGAAGACCATTAGAGGCTACTACTACTCATTCGTCTACAACTTAGACCCCAATGAGGGCAACACTTTTATGGACTGGCCGAAGTGGAGTGAAGGCAGGAAGTTGATCAACTTTGGAGCGAATAAGAACAGCTACCTCGACGATGACTTTAGAGGTGATACACATGACTTCTTGGCGCAAAACGTAGCGAGTTTGAGGGTTTGATCTCGATGATCTACATAGCACCTGACCTGCATGAATCCTTCAAAGTTGGGCATAGCAGCAAAAAGAAACATGAACAAAGTTTTACTCAATCGCCCCTTTCGCTCTCATGACCCACCGCCGATGGTTTGTTGTGAGCTGCATGACTCAACTACGTTGCTGTCCCCATCTTTTTTTCACAGGCCGCAAACCGACAAGTGCGTTTTCAGGCCTTTCGCCAATCTTTCCTTCGCGAATCTCGAACACCTTCCAGTATGATATCAATCCTTGATGGCTTAATCTGTTGTACTGCGCGGCATCGAGCATGCCATCTGCATATCGCGGACCTTTCGCTCATAGAGCAGCGCGGACCCGCAGATAGTCACCTACTCAGCTTCCTCCGTAGCTGCCTAATGATCGAGGATGCTGGCGTGCATCGCACTGAAGAATGACGATCGTGGTCGCATTGATGGGCGGAGATACCACGGGTTTACTATGGAAATTGCACGGACGTTCTGTGGATCCAGCTCTGAGAGCCGTGCACACGCGTCACCTTCTCACAACACCGCGTTGAACGGAGCAGCCACGCGTACGAAGATGCCGAGAAGTGGATTCCACTGACGGCGTATTGTGATTTTCTTTTCACCGGCTTACCATACTCATTCCAAAGGTGTATGTGAATAGGAAGCTGGTCTCAAAGTTTCTGGGCTCACTGGCACACAAGCAACGCTTTGACGTACGTGTTGTATTCAGCAAGAACATAGAGCTAATAGATGTCGTAAACAGTAGCGAGCGTGACTGACGATTAAGTACCGAAAAGGACAAGACCGAACCAAACAATTCAGCGAAAGAAATACCGAGGAAAGCTGTTTCACATCCCTCTACCGCATCGTTGGCGATGACTACCAGTCGCACGTAACAACTGCATGATGGTCCATGTTTAATTCCGGACCAAGCGAACAACTCTCAGCCTCGCTCTTCCATCTCGCCTCCTCCTCTTTGCACTTGATCTCTAGGTCCTTAGGCAAAGGGCCTTCGGAGTCCTTCGGAGATGGCGCATCCCAATCTTGACACCAAAGAGATCCAGGATTGGTTCCATCGTTCAGATAGTCGCATTCGACGCCGTCGATGAGGTCGTTCATCTCGTACGTACCTCCAGGCCAGGGAGGGTTCTTGACCATGTCGTAATCGTCTCCTACTGGTTCTTCCTTCATCATAGCTTGCTTATCATCGCGACATACGGAAGACTTGCCGTAATCGCTCTTGAAGAACAACCAGGAGTTGTCGGTCCAAACCCCATCAAAATACCTTTGAAAGATGATTGAAAGTGCTTTATTATTGCGAGATGGTTTGGACGGAGGTGGAGGGCTCGATGGAGGTGGATCAGAGTCGTTCGGGCTTTCGTCGTCGTCGTCGTCGTCGTCGTGCCCATGGGCGGCCTCATCTGCCCCGTTCCAGATTACACGGATACCGCTGCCAGGAGCCCGTTCCCAACTCGATTTGTCACTGGTCACATAGTCTCGGATAGCTTTGACGCGCTCCACACCAGTCTTAGTATCGTCCCAAGGCTTATTTGAATAGGACAAGTATGTGGCTATGAGACCTGCTACCTGAGGTGCAGCTACATCGAAGTCACCTGTCAGTTCCGAGTGCGAACCTGCAGAGGAGGTCTACTCACCTAGCGAGGTGCCACTTGCAGTTGCCTGTATCTCGTCCGCCTTGTTCTGGCATTCGATGTCGACGCCCGGCGCATAGATTGTGACGAGTGGACCACCTTGTGAGAAAGCGGCTCGCTTGCCCTCCCAGTCTGAAGCTCCGACGATGATCAGGGGAATATCATCATCTTGGAGAACCATTGGAATCTGATCAACATCTCCACGATTCGGTTTCTCGGCATCGTTACCTGCGGCCATCACAAAAGGTACACCAAGTTTGGAAAGCTCGCGCAGATCGTTTCCGTAGAGTAGCTGCATCCTCTCGTCATTCTTAGCTGCCTCGGGTGTGATTCCGCCTTGGCCGATGGCCAAAGACGTGATCACGACACTTCGAGAAGCTCGTCCTTCGTGGGCTTTGATGTCTCTCAGGATCAGCCACATGCCGTTCTCCCAGTCGCCGGTCTTTGGATAGAGCTTTGTTGAAACCAAGGACGCCTAGAAGAGTTCGCGCGATGTCAGCCGACTGTTTCGCATGTATGATCGACAGCAGATCGATGAGTCCTGCGACAAAGAAGCCCAAGACCCAACCTTGGAATGCCAAGTGAATATGACGAAGCCATACTTTTGCGAAAACATACCTCTTTCGCGAGTCCATATTTCTTGCCAACAGCTTTCGAAGCAACTCGAGTCCCGTGTGATGGCTTTTCAACATTGTCATCTGTTTCTGGACTTTGACCCGCTGCAATAGATGAGCTGGACTGGAGAACGCGGTCGTTGTCTGTCTTAAATTCTCGGTCTTCATCCTTCTGCAACGAAACAGTTAGCGATGCAAAGCAGTTGGACTCAAACTTACGTTGATAACCTTGATCTGAATGCCCAAGTCGATCAAATAGACGAATACATCCTCGCCTGGATGCTCGGGGTACACAAAATCGACATGTGTACTTATGTCCATGCCTCTAGTTGGTACACAATTAGCTAGCTGACAAATCATGTGGTGATATATCATACGTACTCATATTGACTGTCCACCACAAGGGCTTCGTCTGCGGTATCCTGGATCATCCACTTCAAATCTCTCGGCACAAGCTTTTCTCTTCGCTCGACGACTTCGCGTCCTTCGCGCATTACGGAAGACGAAAAATCGGATGGTAAAGCCCGTAGAGATCGTATGGGAAGGTCCTCCAACATACCGAATGTATCTTCGTGATTCTCCACCTCAAGTCTTGCCTCTTCAGTCAGGGTCACATTCCCGTATCCAAGTATCTTGTCATCAGGTCCAATCTGATATATCCAGCCACCATCCGCCACCTTGGATTTCAAGAAGTCATGGTACTGCTTGATGTCCACACCGGCTTTTGCCAGAGCTATCCAGTCCTTGACGTCTCGACGGGAGATAGTGTGTTCTTGCGCATTCCGTGGAGCTTCGTGGTTAGCACTATCGCCTACGTTGTCATCAACGGCAGTGCTATCGTGATCTTGCGGCTCGTCTCGAGGTAAGTGGTCGCTAGCCAGTGCGGGAGTTGCGGAGGTGTCGGTTTGTTGCTCGACGGGAGAGATGTCTTCCCTTCGCTCAAACCCGGCATTATTCTGAGTGTCTCTAGTCGTGGGGTCAGCTAGATACGACGGAACAAATGCTTGCACGGTACAGAGCAGAAGGCACAGATAAAGAATTCGCATTGTGGTCACGCGAGAAGAGATTCGGGGAAGTAAAAGAAAAGATAGGAAGTGATGTCGGATTCTTGGATGAATGGTATAAGAAACGGTGAAAGTAATGGCGATGTAGTTTGGCCAAAGTGTGGACTGTCAAATTTCTTTATACCCAATGTCAGAAGGACCCTCAGCCCCAGCGACTTAGGTTTTGGGTCCGAATTTGCGTAATGATGCAGCCAGCGCCCTCATGCTGTTGAGCGGCGTGAGTTCACCAGGGCCTACTGTCTTGAACCGAAACGCCTGTCGTGCAACTATCTAAATATGGCATGCCATGGAGTTTACATCCGGCGTGATTCTCAACCATGCAAGGTTCCATTGGAGTGCGGGACGGCCATTACAGAGACCATCAACTGTGCCATTTCTGGGGCAGGCGCACATATCCATGGAGCTGTTTGATCGGCCTGTAGATGCTTCGATAATCGGGGCGGAAAGTTGCGGCACCGTAATGTTTGACACAGTAGGCGGCAGTTCTTAGAAGGGGCCAGATCTCGACACGAGGCCATGATGTCGTCGGCAAGGTGATGCAGCATGAGTGGAGTTTAGTGGTAGTACAGCGGCCCCAGCATCCTAATAAGTGATAAAGAGGCATAGTCGAAGGAAGCACTATGAAACATGAGATACCCAGATTTGGAACGCACGTCTACGTACTTGTTGGGGGGGTTCGCCATGATGGGGCAGCATGTGGGAAGGATGACGTCGCGCAATGATCCAGAGGCAACACGAGAGATGCTGCTTTGCGGCGGGTCGCTAACGAACTCAAAGTCGATTCGTGGTGGTGAGGATGTTGGTAAGACGGCAGCGCGGGGCTGAGGCGACGAAGTTCGGCTGATGACGGATGACGTATGTTAGAGAGCTGTGCCACAAAATATTGCTCGTACGCGCTTTCGGCTGTTGACCAGATGCTTCGATTAAATTAAACAGAACTGCGAGCGCAAGCGCCACCAGCATATGATAGTTGGCTAGATGTGATCATGACACAGTGTCGGCGTTTAAGCGGGGGCCAACCTCGCATCGAATGATGGCGCAGGCGATGGTGAATGGAAGTGGAACGGAGGTCAAGAACGCCGTCACTGGTACGCGCGGGCGTGCATCAAGAGGGTGGAATACTGGATGAATCTTGTGTGTATTATAAGTGCCAAAAAGCTAGACTCGCATGGAAAGTGAGCCCAAGCACTCGTGGGAAATCACGTGACAGAATGATACTACGCCTCATACACCAGAGTCATCCTGCAGGATACCAACAGACCCGCTATGAGCCTTCCAGCTATCACACTGGCTCTCCAACGCATCCTTGTCGGTTATGCCCGCAATCTTGTCATACTGCTCGACGAACTGCATGGCGAAGCCCTCGGATGTGTGCCAGCCCTGTATGGATGTCAGTAAAGTGATACAAGTGCAAACAAAGAGGGCTACGTACGATGTGGCAGTGCATTAGCCACGCGCCTGGGTTATCAGTCTCGAAAGCGATGACAAGGTAGCCCGATGCTGGCAGCATCGCGGTGTCGCGGCGCGGTGGGTTGTCGAGTTTGAGAGCAACGTCGTCGGTATACTCTCCCGTACCCTGAGCGATGACGAAGAAGTCATGGCCATGCAAATGGATGGGATGGGGTACTCCGATGTTGGTGCTGATGACTACGTAGACGAACTCGTTCTCGCGCGGTAGGTGGAAGACGGCGTTGGAGGCCTCGAACGTCCGTTCTTTGCGCATAACTTGCATGAGCGTGGGGTCGTCCCAGTACACAACCATGGACGTGCTATTGAGAGCCCATTTGAACACGTTCTCGTCGTTGCGGCCGACAGAGACAGGCTCATCGGCTGTGGACGATGTTGCCCCGACAGTCTTTGGGATGTGCGGCACGAGGTTCTCGGTCTCATCGGAGCAGCTATCTTCGTAGTCGTATGCGGAAGTGGTAGGCGTTCCAGCTGAGTCACCATAGTAGACTATACCGCGAATGTCGTCTTCGTTGTCGTTCTCGGAGCATGCGGACTGCGGAATCGCGCGCATCCAGAAGTTGTCGGCCACGTCTCCCTGATCAGCTGTTACAATGACGTCGTATCGTTGACCCATGCCGATGCTGACAATGGTAGCTTCATAAGGTTCGATAGGTACAAGATCGGATGCAATGACGGTCATGGTGTGGTTGTCGATCATGAACTTCCAATGGGTATCGACAGCGGCGTTGACGAGGCGAATTCGGTAAGAAGTGCCGGCGGTGAAGGAAACATTGTAGCGATGACCGCCGTCTCCGAAAGTGTTGGTGCCGTTGATCAGACCGTTGTCGAGAACTGGCGGACCATCCATCTCGGCGGAGAGGTAGAGCTCATCAACCGTCTGGTGGTCCCAGTCGTTGAGGAAGAGCATACCCAAGTCCTCGTCGTAGTTTGCCGTGGCAGGTCCATTGATGACAATACCGCCAAAGACGCCCTGCCAAGCCTGCAGGGCGAAATGCGAGTGATACCAAGTCGACCCGTGCTGGGTAGCTCTCCAGGTGTAAGTCATTGACTCGCCTGGTGCTGTTGGACATTGGGTAATGGAGCTCACACCGTCCTGGTCGTTGGTGTTCTTCTGCCAAAGACCGTGAAAGTGTATGCTCGTGCCGTTCATGGATGTTGTAAGAGAGTTGGTGACATGAACAACGACCATGTCGCCCCAGTCCGCGATGAGCGTCGGTCCTGGTATCGAGCCATTGATGGCCATCGCTGTCCGAGATACGCCGTCAGGTGCTACAACAACATCGGTGAGCTCTAGCCAGTACTCGCGGGTCACGCCAGTGTCTGGGATCTCGACGGACGCGTCGGTGTCGATGGAGTGATCACACCACTCCGAGCGTGTGGAAGCAGTGTTGCCATCGCATGCTCTTCTCGGCACTGGAAATGGTTTAGCTAACGTTGCCTCTACATGAGAATGAGGTGCAACTTACTCAAGTTCGTAACGAAAGGCGAAGAGGCCGCAAAGCCAGTCAAGGCTGCAAGACCGAAAGCGCCTCGTAACAACATGATGTGGATGTCTGAGAGGTGTTTGGTACTCGAAAAAAGATGATATGTAGAGCCAACGAGCAATGATCGCGCAACGAGTGGAAGTGAGGACTAAAGCGAATGACAAGATACGAAAGACTCTAGAAAGAAGCTCCCAAAGAGTGATCTGAGCTCAGTCAAACGAATGTAAAGACAAGCTGATGTTTTTCCACAACAACAAGTCTTCGCTTCCTTTATATCGCCCTTGCATCCTACCTTCATAGCCTGTCTTATCCGAGGAATCTATTAGGGGCACAACCAGTGCAGTCTTCAACGACTCAAGGACGTCATGATAAAATCGAAACTTTCGCTCGTACTCTTCTTTCGTGATGCTCCGTAGATAGTCTCATTGTTTATCGTGGGTCAAGACTACCCTGATCCCTACTCCAAACTTCAGACGCCCCTTAGGGCTTTGCTTGGCGTAGGTACACCGGCTGCTCGGTGATCTGCTAGCGGTATTGTGCATCTAAAAACGGCCGTGGGGTTACTGAGTAGGAAGCGCAAAGTTTACCAGCGCATCAGGTGAGCCCCCACTCGATCGGTGCCATTCCGCCGCATCTGCCCATGGCATTATCGATTGTTGAGAAATCTTCGCGCATTGTCGGAGTTTGCTGACTCGGAATCGGAGGAAGGAAGCGCCGCGGAAGGGCCGTCCATGATGACAGGTCGGCGCGCCGTTGTTGCTGGGTTGTGCCAGGTACTCAGTGGAGTGAGGTACATGAAGTCGAATAGACAAACTCTTCGTATATCCACTGAAAAACGGGTAGAATCTGCGTTTGAACGGTTCGATCGGTACCTAGAGAGATACGCGACAGTGGGGACGACAAGCATTCTCTAGCTTGAGCTTGGCAGTGCCAAAAATAAGACCCGCTCCGACTCGCACTACGTATCGCATCTGTGCTTTGAGTGGCTGAGGTTACGTTCCGCCTGAGCATTGAAACAAGTGAAGTCAGGCAGCATGCAACCATCGATAGCGCAGTTCGCACTGTACGAGGGCGGGTCTTCGTAGCCCTGGAGCCCTTCGGAGGCCTCCCAATGCAGTATACCAAGAGATATGGTTTTCACTCGAGGCGTCATGAATATACGTGGAGACGTCGTAATGCATCTGAGTCGCTCAGGGGACTGTAGAGATAGAGACTGACTCGGCCGATGTATCGAGTGTAATAAGGTCATTGGGACTGCTGATTGTTAGCTGTTGCCACCACCCTTCACAGTCTTGCTACATTTCTGACGCTCTTTAAAATATACATCAACGTACACTCCTTCATCATGCATATCGCCATGCGCAGCGTACTGCTGGCTCTGCTCCCGCTCGCAGTGTTGGGCGCCCGCAAGCGTGATGTCGCTTTCACGCCCTTCCAGCTGTATGCATACAGTGAAGACATTGGTGGCTTGCCACTCTTCTATGCCGATGGTCTTGCATACCTCGGAGAGCCTGCTCTTTCCAACAGTACCGATGCTGCTGTCGTAACCTGTAAGTTCGGTTTCTTCGAGCCATCGCGTACCCAAGTTCATCCCAACTAACAGACATAGTCACAATCGATGCCAACAAACACTTCATTGGAAACCCCAACGCTACCACCGCTACCGGTGAGCCCACCTGGTCAAACACAGCTCTCTTCATTCCTTCGTCATCATCGGTCGACAGGCGCGTGGGCTTTCTCCCACCCAACAACGGCACTGGCAACACCACGACACAAACATCGGGTTTCGCTTTCTACGGTTCCACGGTGATGTTGTATGGTGAAGATGGTACGGTTGCCACGTCATTCTACGGCATGAAGGCTGAGAACGGCCTGTATGAGTTGCATTGGAATGACACGGAAGGCAAGGTGCCTTTGACACTTCGGAGCATGGCGCCTAGCAGTGAAGCGTCGAAGCGACGCTGAAGAGATGTTGTTGTGACCTGGAAGGCTCTCGCAGAGTTGTCGTTCCAAGAGGCGTAAGGCAGGGAACCTATGGGTAGTAGTAATTTTATATCAGCGGACTACAAATGTGATCGGTCATACACCAGTCTGCAACTCCAGGGCTGATACTTTACATCGTCATTCTGCTTCGTTCCACTCGCAAGTTGCCAACAACCAAGTTCTCATCAAGTTCTGCTAGCGGCTTAATGCTCACAGAAGCTGTAAGTCGCCCCCTGCAATTCTTCCTCTGCTGTCCGAACAAATGCGCCCCTTTCCTGCATAAGCTTTTTGCGGTGCTCGCTTGCCTCTTGGAAACCCATAGGAAGGGAATATTTGGCTTCATCGAAATACTCGCGCACGTAGTCCATGAGCTCTTCGGGCAGTCGACCTTCAGAAGTGGCAGAAAGATTTGCAAGTCCCTTCTCGGCTAGCATATTGATAAGGTCGGGAGGAAGTTTCGACAGCGCTTCTTGACGCGACTTGGTGTTTGATCCAAGGAGCGCGTCGACGTACCAGTCCATCTGTTGAGGCGGAACATTCGCCGTGGAGATGATGCGTTTTGTAGGATCGACAAGCCAAAGTGCAATGAAGCGACGATGCCCGGGCTTTGTAGGGTCGATAAGACTAAAGGGAGAAACACGATGTTGACTGACACAGGTTAGCAAAAAGGTCGTGTGCAAACAGAACTTTGACCAACTCACAAGATATTGGGGAAGGCAAGGAGCCGGCCTTCGCGTGTTTGTACGCTTCCGTAGTTCTGCAGACATGGCGATCCATTCCCAACTCCAAAATTGGCGCCTTATACTTGCTCCATCCAGTTATAGGCGCATTGTCCAACATTGTAGGGTTCGTCATCCTGCAGGTAAGCGGACGTCTGCATACGAAACGAGAGGCTGTTGTCAGTGATGTTCTCGCTGTCCAGGTAATACAGGGCAGTTGCGCAGATGCTTTCGTTCATTTGTCCCTCAATGTGCCACCCGCCCAGAGGGAAGTCCGGCTTCTCGGGCGTAAGTTCAATCGAGGCCATCTTGACAATGATCTGAAGTCCCGAATCGCGGAACTTATCAGCAAGACGCTTGCCTGGTTGCGGCGCGTAGGATACGTCATCAGCGCGAATTGGCATCATGCGAGGTTTGCGAACGATCCTCCACTTGGCCTCCAGCAACCTTTCTTGGCGATCCTCATCGTTGTCGTAGTCATCGTAGTACCCTTCTTCCTCCAGGTCTTCTTCGCTGGCTTCTACATCAGCACACTCTTCCTTATTGGGCGTCCAATTCTCTTCGTTCTCGTCACTACGCAACGAAACGTTAGCAGCGGCAAAGTTCTAAAACATTGCTTTGACTTACTCAGCATTCCCAGGTTTACCGCTGCGAGTCTCCATACGGCCGGCCCCTTCGTACTCATAGTAGCCGACTGCAAACCTCAAACACTGATCCCACATGGGTATGGATGTCTCGACTAGTTTTTCGATAGTGCGGTATATGTCGGGATATCTTGTAGGGTGAAGATTGTTGATGTAGCTCGTAAATTTTACAGACCCATCCTCTTGGAAGGCCAAGTTGGCTGGCAGCCATTGGTACTGATTAAACCAGTATTCCGGTGGGATGTCACTGCCTCCAAGGCCGTAATAGTGCCGGTTCTGCGCTGTAGTCTCTTCGAGCCCCTGCTGGGGGATGACCTCGCCTTTACCGGACCAGCGCTCCACGGCGTCCGCCACACCGACCTGCTCCTGACGGAATCCGGTACTGCGCCCATATACCAATGGGTACATAGATGGATGTACCAGATCCTGCACCATATTGTTCGAGTTGGGGTGCCAATCAGGAGATGCAGCGTGGTCCGACTGAAGCTTGTCAAAAGCCTTGCGAAGATTGGTGTGTAGCTCGCTAGTAACGAGCGTATCAGACTTGGCTACGGAAGCACATGCGTCGAGAGAAGGTATGATGCCCGATTCTTCGAAATACTTGGCTTTGCTACGAAGCTCTTGAACACACTGCGGGGTTTTAGTAATGGAGACGATTTGGAAGCAAGAATAACTTACCGTGTCGAATGTAGCTTCGTCCAAGATGTTCTCAAGTGGACAAGAACCCCGGCCGTTGTGAAGCTCGAGCCGGTCCTCGTCGTCGGTCCAATACTGTCTCATCCCAGCGGTAGCAAGGTGCCAAAAATGTCCATCAGGAATGGCGAGGGCCTCTTTACGCCACCTGGCAACGATTTCTTCATCAAAGATCTTCTTATGCCAGTCGGGCTTGTCAGTGAGCTTTTCCAAGACATCCATCACGGCAAGCTCTCGCACAGGGATGATATCTGACTCGCTGCCATGGGCATTGGGGTGGGACCCGATCGGATAGAAGTCGTAGTCGGTCTGTTCCCAATGGCGAAGGGGTAGTCCTAGTCCAGGATATTCGTTCATGGCTTTGCCAGAAGTCTCAATCATTGTTGTCTTTGAGCGGGTGGAGAATTGTGATGCGATGAACTCCGTGTTGATTGCGCGCCGAAATGTCGCAAGAGATCTCGTTGCTTTATACAAATGAAGATTGATGACCATATCGCATGATCGCCAAGTTTTTGATGCACTAGCGCAGGCAACTTCGTGCTGCCTGAGCTGTTGGAGCGAAATAGAGCGAGATGGGGTCTTTGGCGTGTTGGAGGCCTAGCCTTTACCCGTCGAGGATGCGCCGCGGACACGAATGGAACTATAGGAGAGGGGATCCGCGTCTCGTGCCATCGATGCATTGAGACGATGATGTTCGCTTGAAAAGCATGGCATCAGTGCAGACATGTCGTCTAGCTCTGGGCGTAGGGTGAAATGTGAAGCTGATGTCTGCGCATCAATCGTGGGGAGTTCGCAGCACTGTCGCGTCACGCGTTCCGAGATCTGTGCGGGCGTTATCGGCCCCCGCGTGTGCGCTAGATGTCTTGGCACCGCCGCAAAATGCTGTTGCCGCACGGCGTGAAGCATACCTACATTTGGCAGCATCGGTCTCCTACGAGTCTTCATACCCATGATCTTAGAAACATCGAAACGTGCTTGAACATACCTGGTTAGACCTCGACACACTACTGCGCCGAAAAGAATGGATTATGCATACAATAAAAGCTACCTAGTTTGTATAAATGTGTGCACCGTTATAATTATCTCTATAGAGGGGGCCACCACTACGACCAAGTACATCGGCATGGTATGCATCGAAGACTAGCTTACTTAATCGTGCTTAGTGTACACCTTCACATACTTCACATGCTCAATACCCTCAGCATCCTCATAGCGTTCACTGACGATTTTGTACCCTCCAAGCTTCGGCCAAATCTTTGTCCAGCAAAGCCAGTAGAATCCACCCAGAAGCAGAACGCTGACACCAACAACCGGGAATACGTAATATGGGTAGCCATCCGCGTTCCAATCGCCATCCGGAGGAATGAAGGGGACCAGTGCGAGGAAAATGTTTGCAGCCAGGTAAAGAACGGCAATGGGGAGATAGGTGTGCCATGGCGACTCCCAGCGTTCGCGCTTGGAGTAGTGTAGGTAGATGAGACCGGCGGTGACGAAGCCGTTGATCCAAGCGCCGGGGTAGGTATACAGATCGGTGATGAAATTGTACGCAGGACCAGCAGGGGGCGCAAGCAGTACGATGACTGTAATCAGCCAATGCAAGAACAAGGCTGTCGCCGGCGAATTGAATGGCTTGTTCGACGCCCAGAATCTGCTCCACGGAAGTAGACCCTCTTTTGCAAACTCCTGGTTGAGGCGTGAATGGGCAAAACTGACGGCGAGTACGTTGCCTAGATTGCTGAGGGCAACAAAAGCGGGAAGACTGCGCGCTCCAGCACTATTACCAAAAACGTTGCGGAAGAACAGGCCAGCCACGATTACCTCACTCTTCGCAAGATCGGACTTGGGGATGGCAGCGAAGTAAGCCACGTTCGCGAGGACGTACAAGATGGTAGTTCCGCCGATTGCCAGGGGTGCAGACCAAGCCAGGGTTTTCTTCGGGTTCCGAATCTCGCCCAACACATAGTTGGCATTTTCCCAGCCTTTGTAGGAGTAAATGATGCGCAACAGAGCTTGGCAGTAAGCATAGGCGCCGCCGCCACCATAGCCATCACCGACTTCCAGCGCGAAGGCGTTGTCGAAGTTGTGCGGCTGTTCGATCTTCAGATGACCAGCCAAAGCAGCAAAGCCAGAGAAGACGATGAAGAGTAGGATGAAAACCTTGAACACGCCGAGAACGCTGAAGAGGCGGATGCCCCATTTCGGTAACGTGGCATGGAGCACAACCGAGAAAGTGACACAAGCAACGGCTATTCCACGCGCCGCCCAGCCATCAGGTGCTTCCGAACCAGCTGCGAACAGTACGTAGCGACCGAAAGCGAGCGAGTTACCGGAAGAGAATCCGAGCAACAACATCTGCGCAGCAAGAACACATGTCGCAACGTATTTAGGGTGACGGTAGACGCGCTCCAGATAGTTCTTCTCGCCGCCTGAACGTGGGATTGCGAGACCGAATTCCAGAAACACGGATAGCCCACAGAATGTGAGAATGCCGCCAATGATCCACAGGAAGAGTGACACGCCGACCGACCCTGTTGCTGCAAAGATACCAGAAGGAGTCGAGAAGACTGCAGCAAGTAAGCAGCCATTCGAGCGTATGAGCATGAAGAGTACGTACTACCAGTGCCGATCATCTTATTCAGGATGACAAAGACTGTGGCCGTGTAGCCCAGCTTCTGGGAATCGTCGTAAACATAGGCATTGTCTTCCTGTACGCTGCCATCTTCGTAGACCGGTGGGGAAGGCGAGGTTTCATCGTTGGTGTAACGCGCGACCTTTGCGTCGTCGTCAGCGATCGCGGCCATACTTGGGCTTTGCTAGGAGCACCAGTGGTACCAATAGCTCGCGTCTAGTTCGTGATCAGAATACAGCCGAAGCGATCGCTACGAATGGTTTGCGCAGAAGATAGACGGTTACGCGGTGGCCGGGATCTTGTAGGGTCATATAGCCGTCTGCAATGGCGCGATAACATGGTTGTAGCATGCCACGCGAATTAAATTGCGAATGCACTCCTTCCATGTCGCGATCAGCAAGCGCTGCATCATTGCGAGGCTTGAGTTGCTTGTGGTGTCCAAAGCTGGTGGCTCCCAAGAACCCTGAACAGGAAGGTGAAGCATGTCGCTGGTTGGAATGTCTTGGAACATCCTCTCAACGATGCGCAGAAAAGGCAAGGGCGATGTCGTGATCGCTGGGCATTATTAGCCTATCACCAAAGTACTTGGCGCATACTGAATGCCTTGTAATGCACTTCAAGGCGCCTCATGTCCGTCTTATGAAGATTTGGGAGTCTTGTAGAGTAAGGAACCGTTGTCATGAGTGTTCGCGGTGCGAAAGGGACAGTCCCGAGGTCTCTAGGGAACGGTGTCGCTCGAATGACGAAATTGGTTCACATGGTTAAATGCGCGCGCCGCGGCGAGGGCATCAGGTAGTTAGCTGATGAGAGTGAACAGAGCTTGACGTGGAGTTGGGGGTTGAAAGCAGCTGGGGATGTCTCCGCGTGTCTGGTGCCAAACCTCGGAACTCCCGGCGACGTAATTTCCGGGTTGGCGCCGGCAATAGAGGGGGCTCACGAGCTTACACTTCTTCAACACCACAGACGGCTGGCTCCTTCTACAACCTTAGCTCAAATCCCATATATGCCGTAACGCACCAGAGGCCTCGATACTGAAAAACTTCAGATGGACGTCTTCGTCGCAACTACCTAGGTACAACGTTGGCTGGACTCCTGCTAGCGGTGTCCTAGCTGGAACAGAATCATCATCGCATCACTTTGAAGCGCTTGCGAGGCAGCTCAGCTTCGACATTCATTCAGGCACTAATCTCTGCTATCTAGATATCATCGCAGTTTCATCTCAGGCCGTCTTTAGCCCACGATCTTACGCGTCATTGCGTCACATAAACAAGCCTCAGTAAGCTCTATGCCGAAGCTTGACCAACGCCACGGAAGCCTCACAGACAGCACGTAACATGCGTACTTAACGGCGTTTGACCATGGCTCGTTGCTCGATCTCCGCGTCGGTTTGTCGGCTCTTCTGGCGATGTGAGATCATCTCCGAGGCTTGTTAGTGATCGGCTTAATTGGTGGATAATTTCCTCCATCTTCCCCACGTTCTCCGGATCTCTCTGGGTGGATACTCCCCGCGCTCGGTATACCTGGTAATGATGCTGATTGGAGGCATTGAACGGATAATTGATACTAGAAGTGCACTTGCGGCTGATGATGGTGCTCAGGGCACAACGGTAACCGGGCATTGCGGATGTCTTGAGCCACATGGGAATCCCAACCCCAGGAGTGCGGATACGATGAGTTGATATAAAGTGCAGGCCAAGCCTCAGTCCGCCAAAACGGCGCGCATCCTTTTTCGGGCCGTGCGGAAACTTCAGCCTTTCACCATGCATTGGACTACACTCCTCCTTGGCCTGTTCGAGGCATGCGCCGCTGTATCGACTGTCAGCCGCAAAGCGTGCCAGTATCCGACAAAGAAGCCACTGGACGGTTGCCCTCAGAACACGATTTTGGTTGGACCTGGCCGCAACTTCTCTACGATCCAGTCTGCAGTACTTAGCTTGCCAAACGATACCACGCCCCATCATATCCTGATCCTTCCTGGGAACTATACTGAGCAAGTCAACGTCACTCGGCCAGGTCCCGTTTACCTTTTTGGTCAAACGAAAGCGCCCAACGACCAAAGCAAGAACACTGTCAACGTAATATGGCGCAATGCAACTGGAGCTGGGCTATCAACATTGGACAACGCCTATACTTCCGTTCTCACCGTTGCGCCGACCTTCAACGCGAGTAAGACTGGGTCCGGGCCAACTGGTGATCCCGTACCTGCGGGTACCCCATTCGGAAACACCGATTTCCGCGCATACAACATAGACTTCAGCAACTTGTATGCGCCCTACTCCGCCGGTCCAGCCCTGGCAGTCTCAGTGAGCTACGCAAACACCGGCTTCTACTACTGCGGCTTCTACTCGTACCAGGACACCGTGTATGTCGGCAAATTAGGCAACGCATACTTCTACAAGAACGAAATAGCCGGACAAACAGATTTCTTCTACGGTTTCGGCACGGCATGGATCCAGTCCAGTCTTGTCTCCCTTCGTAACTGTGGCGGCGGCATCACAGCATGGAAAGGCACCAACACAACCTTTGTCAACAAATACGGCGTCTACATCCACGACTCTGATGTCAAGAAAGCCAATTCTTCTCTCTCCATCACCGGTCAGTGCGCACTGGGCCGCCCTTGGAACGCCCAGCATCGTTCCATCTTCGCAAACTGCTATCTTGATGATTCGATTCAGCCCAACGGGTACATCAAGTGGGGTACGACGGATCCAAGGGTGAACCTCAACACCACAATGGCGGAGTACAAGGACTA